AGATATCTCAGGGCTCAGGTCTTACATTATTAATAGTCTAATACACACCTCAAAATCATGGTTTACATATTACATGTAAGTCTGCATAATACTGAAGCTGTGTTTATAATGTATGCACATGTACATGTAACTCCACCCATTGCATCAGTTACACAGAACATAATGTAAGATCAACCTGGGACTGGTCTTGTGTTGAATTCTCTAGAACTGATACAATGGATGGAGTGACGTACATTATAAACCTAGCTTAAACAATCCCAATCTTAACAATACCACTACGCTTATGCTACTGCTACATAAATACTTGGCACTGACAAAGTGTACAAATTATGCTCTTGCTTACTGAACTGAGACTAGGGCAGGCCTCACAAGTGACTGGTCCAATGTTAGAAGTTTGTCTGTATCCAGTCACACAGTTACAGGATAATCCTATCATTATTATAAGTATAGGCACAGTGAAGGAATGAACACTCACCATTGCTTGAAGTGTTAGAGTTGGGTGGGCAAGAGGTACAGGAGAGGTTTCCAGGGTAAAAGTACTGAGTATCATGGCTACAGGATTGAGGTGTGTTGAAGTCTATTGGAGATACATTAGACTGAGGACTACGCAATCAGCAATGATGCCAGTACTAGAATAGAACAACAAGGACTGTAGCCATTTTTTGCAGGACAATATCTATGAATAATAATTAGCCTATTATAAATGCAACGATTATTGCCTAGTATAGTACAGATCGCTACAGATTCGCAAAAATGTGGATTTTGCTGAGAGGTCTATTACTGTTTTTCTGTCTTCTTGGGCCCAGCAGTTTATCTAGCTCGAAAAATGACATTAGCATTGTGCTGGCATTCAATTTCACTGTTGGAAGCTGTTCTAGTCCAAATGGAAGTCCAGTTGTCTCTCTAAGAGGGAGATGCACAAAATGCCCAGAGCAGGACTTAATATGCCAGACCTTTAGTAGTGAGTGCAGATTACATTTGTATGCTTTGGTGTGTGTGTGTGTGTGTGTGTGTGTGTGTGTGTGTGTGTGTGTGTGTGTGTGTGTGTGTGTGTGTGTGTGTGTGCGTGTGTGTGTGTGTGTGTGTGTGTGTGTGTGTGCGTGTGTGTGTGCGCGCGTAGTCTTGGGGCCACTCCCTTCTAGTACCGTATAGTGGGATTTTGGAGGGACTAAAATTTGGCAAATGGCTATCAAGACACCAAATTTAATTCCCTCCAAAATTTCCCGCTATACAGTAGTCTTGTGTACTACCCCTTCCATGGGACTAGTGTGTGTGTGTGTGTATTATATTTATATTTTAAATTAACAGGGGCTGAAGCAGCAAGTGAATTGTCTGTTAATATAACAACAACAAGAAATGAATGGATGCGCTTTCAGTGGATTGATCACAATAATACTACCTGCCCTGTGACAATAAGCTGGGGGAAGCTTACATATGAAGATTATGCATCATATTTAAGACTTTGTCCTGAACCATCACAAACTTTAAGTGTTAGAATTAGATTGAAGCCAAATAATAAATTCCAAAATCATAGTGCAGCAACTGAGCGTTGCTCTCAACTTACAGTTTCTTCAAGACCACTTTGCTCAGTGGACCCAACTACTGCATTCTCTTTCACTACCAATTCAGCATCAGCAAAATCAGAACTTTTATCTGCAATTTATCAACATTTTACAGTCCCAATATCTATTTTATCATTCTCCTCTACCAGTGTATATCCAACCACATCATCAATGCTCAGTCTATCATCCACACCTGAATTCTCCTCTACCAGTGTATATCCAACCACATCATCAATGTTCAGTCTATCATCCTCACCTGAATTCTCCTCTACCAGTGTATATCCAACCACATCATCAATGCTCAGTGTATCATCTACACCTGAATTCTCCTCTACCAGTGTATATCCAACCACATCATCAATGCTCAGTCTATCATCCTCACCTGAATTCTCCTCTACCAGTGTATATCTAACCACATTATCAATGCTCAGTCTATCATCCTCACCTGAATTCTCTTCTACCAGTGTATACCCAACCACATCATCAATGCTCAGTCTATCATCCACACCTGAATTCTCCTCTACCAGTGTATACCCAACCACATCATCAATGCTCAGTCTATCATCCTCACCTGAATTCTCTTCTACCAGTGTATATCCAACCACATCATCAATGC